GTGGTGGGTTCTGGGTTTGGGGAGAAGGAAGGAGGGACGACTGGGAAGCAGTTGGGGGCCCCCCGCTTTGGTGACTGAAGCCCTTCCCCCCTTTGCTGTGTAGTACAGGGTCAGGGTCTCAGTTTTCGGGGGGAAGTACACATATGGAAACAACCCAGAGAGTTCTGGAAAAGGGCCTGCTAGCTCCCTGACATATAGGCACAGGCATCCATCAGCCATGGGAGGGACCCAAGGAAAGCTCCATGGGTCTCAAGTCCTCTGCATCATGCTGCCTGTCCTCGCCCCAAAGGGACTGTTGAGACGGGAGTGCCAAAATGCAAAGGCACCACAGTCTTCATCGTAGTCCCCAGGATCTAGACATCTTGGCGACAAAAGCCCAGTGCAGTTTGCTCTGCATTTGGTTCCTGGTTCCTGGGACACTCGTGGAGCACGACAGCACCTTGAGGTCAAAAGCTCTGAGCCAAATTTGGACAACACACCTGTCAGCGGTGGTTCCTCTTGGAGTAGGCCGATATGGTCTGGTCCTGTCACTCATAAGGTGGTGGCCTTACGTGATTCCACCAGTCCCAAGGTTCTGACTCTCCCACAGCTGGAGGCTTCTCCGCCCAGCCAAAGGCCCAGGCAAGCAGCCATGTGCTTTTCATTCATTCACCGGCCACACTACAGTAAGTACCAGATGGAGCTGTCTGTTCCATCAGCTCAAGCGAGACTAGAAGGGAGACGACTGTGTAGGAATGACAGAAGTGACAGTGACATGCGGTGAATCTAAGAGTTAGAAAAATAATTAGTCCTGAAGCCATTTTACCAGAGATACAAAACTGAAGGTTCATAACAATGACTCTGAGCTAAATAGAGGTTAAGTTGTATCCTGACTTTTGTGGGCGGATAGCAAGGTATGCAATATGTTAAAAAAAAATAAGACCAGGCATATATCTCAATGGTAGAACATTGCCTATTACGCACGAGGGCCTTGGTTCAGTCCTCAGCAACACACTCAGAAAGAGTGAGAGAGAAAGAGAAAACAGGCAAGTCTAGTCATGTAGACCTGCAAAACCAGATACTCAGGAGAATTAAGAGTTTAAAGCGCACACCTTTAATCCCAGCATTTAGGAAGCAGAGGCAGGTAGATCTTTGTACATTTGAGGCCAACCTGGTCTATAGAGCAAGTTCCAGGACAGCCAGGGCTACACAGAGAACCCTTGTCTCAAAAAACAAACAAACAAACAAACAAATAAAAAACCAAAAAGTTTAAAGCCTGTCTGAGCTGCAGAGTAAGTTTCTAGACCAGTGTGGATAATAGGCTGAAGTGTTTCAAAACTTAATGGTGGTGGGGGGAGATGCAGCTCAGTGGTAGAGTGCTTGGCTGAGGAAAAGGAAGAAGGAAAGGAAAAAGGAAAGGAAAGTAGGGAGGGAGGGAGAGAAGGAAGAAGGAGGGAAAGAAGGAAGGAAGGAAGGAAGGAAGGAAAGAAGGAAGGAAGAAAAGAAGGAAGGAAAGGAAGGAAGGAAGGAAGGAAGAAAGGAAGGAAACAATATACCAAGCAGGCACCTTGGGTGCCCTGCTTGCCCTCTTCCACTCACACTATCACAGGCACATTTCTCTTGCCAATGGTTGCCATGGCTTTGTCATCTGCAGTGTGGAGAGGAGCTCTGCACTGAGTACAGTACACACTTTCAGTCCCAGCTCTTGGGAGGCAGAGGCAGGCAGCTCTCGATGAGTTCGATTGCAGTCTGTTCAGGTGAGTTGCAGACCAACCATCTAGGGCTACAATAGTGAGACCCTGTCTCAAAAAAATAAAGAAAAGAAGAAAGGAAGGAAAGAAAGTGTGTAGACAAGATGATTTAAAGCCACAGGGACAGCATTAGCAGAGGCAGCAGACCCGGGATGCAGGGACTCTTGCCCTTGGCGGGAACACATTTGCATCACACACACAAGCATCTCTGTTCCATCAGGATGTGGTAGGGCCACAATCAGACTGCAGGTGGAGGGAGGTGGGGAGGACAATGTAGAAGAGGATGGGAAATGTGGGGCACAGGCTGGCAGGTGCCTAGTGCTTGGAGATGAATGGAAGATGCAGCTGGAGAGAACCGAAGGGCTGGCCCCATTTCCCTTTGACCATTTTCCCTTCCTCCCTGAGCCATTACTCCCACTGCCTCATGTGGTTAAGTTTAGATGTGGGACGGGAGGCGTTAAGCGTAGGTGGTTAGCAGGGTCCAGTGTGAAGGGACAAGGTGCTATGACTTCAAACGAAAAGCTAATGCCTCACAGTTCTGTGCAAACCTCACACAGGGAGTGACCACGTGAGCAACAGCAGCGCTCAACTGTGGTCACTGCCTTGTTTGAGCTGGGGCTCAATTAATCATGGCTAAGCCACTTTAACCCGCAGAGCGTGTCTCCTTGCTGCTAAATAAGGACTATGTCCCAGGAGTTTTGCAAAGATAGACGAGATAATGGGTGTCAAAGACGTTTGTCAACTACCAAATACTATTTACATCAAAGTTTACTGCATGGAGCGATTTCCAAAGTAAGGTATTACTGGTCTATCTTTACCACTACCTACCTGCCTCTTACATACTCAGATGGGGTGTCTGAGAGATGCCAGGCCTGAGCTGTTGGCTGTACACAGGCTGAGGGTAACAACGTAGTGGTTACATCAAGAGCAGAGTCTCAGTCCCCCACCTAGCAAGCCCGGCCTGAAGTTAGACCTTTACCAGCCTACCGCCCTCTTCTTAGGGAAACTGCTGTCTGTGGAGACATACTGACCCTTGCTGTATCAGCTACCAGCCATCGCTGTGTGGTCTGTCACTTAGCCCCTCGGTTAAGCGAGACCAATACCAGGGGGGAGAAAATGAGGTCAAAGCAGCATTCTGAAAGCAGCTCGGCTGCCGCTGTTTCTAGAGTTTTGCCTGAGTTGAATCTGTCCTGTTGAACAGGAGTGGAGCCTTGTCCCCCTGAGGGACAGAGGTCAAACCACTGAACAGGAGACCAGGAGGATCTAGGCCTCGTGGTGTACATCTGCAATTCTAGTTACTCAGGAGACAGGGGAATCACACGTTCAAAGTCAGCCTGGGTTGCAGGGTGATTTTAAAGCCAATGGATAAGATTAGTGAGTCGGACTCAACAAGTATGAGGGCTGGGGACAGTTTAGTGGAAAATCGCTTGCCTAGCATGAGGAGGCCAGGGTTCGATCCCGAGCACTTCAGTGGAGACAGCCAGGTCTTAAGACTCTGGGCTGACTGAAACCTCCTGAGCTAGGACAGTCTAAACAGCAAGTACTGGCCTGAGCCCTTACTACCCTGACGGAGAATGCAAACAGCAGTCCTGGAATTTGAAAGGCACTCCCACCCCTGCCACAGGACAGCCCACCCTGAGAGCCCAAAACCGAGGTCCCATCTCAAGGATCTTTCAGCTCACACAAAGGGTGAGACTCTGGCACTTTCTTGCCTGTTTGGGTTGCAAGGCTCCAGTACCATAAGGCAAGGGAGTGATTGAAAAGCAGCTCCCAAGTGGTGGGCGCTGCAACAAGCCCCCCTGCCCCCATGATTGACAGTGGTTGTGCCTTTCACTTCCTGTGAGATTGACAGTTGGGGCCCAGCTAGGTGTGGGACTCAAGCAGCTCTGGTGTGGTTATTTGCACAGGCTCTTCTTGCCTCCCCTCCCCGCAACTGTTTCCATTCTCACCACGCAGTCACGTCCGGGTCATGCACACAGGACAGCAGCTGGGGCTTTCCAAGGGACTTCTGAGAAAGCCAGTGAAAGCTTAGGTGTTGGCTCCACAGCCTGGGCACACTCTTGGGGAAACCTTGTTCCTTCCAGGAGGGAGGTTCCAGCCTGGCGGAGTTGCTCTGGCCATCTACCAAGCCTCTTTCTGACACCCTGCTAAAGAACTCACATGCTGAGCTCTTAGATGGCCAGAAAACTCCTTCAACAGCTCAGTCAGCACTGAGGGTGATGACCTCAGAGCCTGACGACACAGGTCTTAGTGGGGACCCGAGTGGATGTGCGCAGCCTGGTCACTACCAACTTCTTTCCACAGGCAGGGACGAGACAGATGGAGTCAGGACACAGCCACAGGGCAGACTTTCTCACATTTCCCATAAGTATTATGGAGCCTGGTTTCCAGAGCGTGGTGCAGGTGCCTCTGCTAGCAAGGTGGTACTCTGCCGACAGGGAGGTTTGGGGCATTACCCCAAGTTTTGACTAATTATAAAGTTGGTGTAAATATTGAAGACTAGTTAATAATTGGTGAGCAAATTTTACAAATTATTCTTTATTATTATTTGACCTTTTTGAGACAGGGCCTCACTATGAAGACCACACTGGTCTTGAGCTAACTTCTAAGCTTCTGGGTGTTGGGATTTCAAGCATGTGCCACATCTGGCCCTTTTAGACTAGCTACGTAATTTTCTTATTTTTCATTTCCAGTCTTTAGAATTCAGAGTAAGCAGACAGGACAAACAGTTCACTCCTGTTTTATAGATGGAAACTGAAGAAAAACTAAAACAAGAATACAATGGTAAACTTTTTATTATAAAAACTACCCATCTTGGTCAGTGTGACTTTCATTACCTATGGGCTCCCTCCTAGGCCAGAGGAGGGCCTGCCTTCCATGCAAACACAAAACACAGACCAAGACCCAATAGCCACCAAGGCTAGTAAGAGAAATGTGAAATGTGAGATTGGCAAAAGGACAGCGAGAGTGGGAAAAGGAGAGACAAAGAGAGGAAGAAAGAGGGGTAAAAACAGGGCCAAGGGTAAGGGGACTAAAGCCATGGGATTCCTGCAAAGGAGACTGCTGCATCAGGTCTAGGTAGGACACTTGGCTTCCAGTCAGAGGACTGCAGATCCGACATATGTCAACTAGCACAGCAGAAAGGCTGTACCCCTGCAGCCTCAAAGGCAGGCCAAAGAGAGAAAGGCCTCAGAGCTTACAGGGCAAGTGAGCCCTCACTGTGAGAGAGACAGGGACACAAGGCATGGAACACAAGGCATGGGCCACAGCTTTAAGTGTATCCCAAAAGTTCATTTTATTGGTATCCGTGGACAAAGGCAGAGCCTTGGGCAGAGGTAGGGAAACCAGCCTCTTACTCTCTCCTCCATCAGTCTCTGAGATCCACCAAGTAGACACTCCCACTTCACCAGGCGTCAGAGAAAGTGAAATGACTCAATGGCCGGATGCGCTGCTCTCACGGGAGCTGCTGATGCTGAGACAGAGGGCAGGGAGAACTTGGAGTTCTGCTGTTTAGTTCCACGAGAACAAGCACAGGCCAGAAGGGAGCAGGGCACCGTGGGCTGCACCCAGCTAGGTTTTTATTGCTGTGTCTCTGGATTTGTAGGCCACTCCCCGACTTTTCAGCTCCCGAACAATTCCTATGACAGGAAAAGAAACAGTCCCATGAGAGAGTCACCGGGATAAAGCCACTCGACCTGCTGTGGCAGTCACTGTGAAGTGAGGATGCCCGATTATTACCTAAAATTCTGGCAAAGAGCTAGCAGGGGAACAATTAAAGTAGGGCTCACACAATCACCAAAAACAAAGGTTTGGCCAGGTGGTGGTGGTGCACGCCTTTAACCCCAGCACTTGGGAGGCAGAAGCAGGTGGACCTCTGTGTGTTTGAGGCCAGACTTGTTTACATAGTGAGTTCCGGGCTCCAAAACTACATGGAGAAACCCTGTCTTGAACACCCCACAAAGAATCAAAGCAAAACAAACAAACAAAACTCCCACAAAGGTATGAAGTCAAATGTCTGGGTGTTATCAGTCAAGTTATTCCTATTAATTCACACAAAAGACTGGCTTCTCCTGGGCCCACACAGAAACACTATTACAATTGTTATTACCTTGGGGCAGGCGGCCAGTGACTGACACAGCATATACACCTGGCTTAAAATTACCTGAGGAAGAAAGCAGATTACAATGGGAATTAGTTAAGATTGGAGACCAATGGAGAATTAAGCCAAAAATGGAAGAGGAGTGGAGGGGTGTATGTGTGCCCACACACATGTGGAGGTGGGAAGACAACTTGTGAAGTCAGCTCTCTCCTTCCATGTGGGTCCCCAGGATCAGACTTAGGTTGTCCTAGTACTGCTGAGCCATCTTGCCAGCCTCAAGACTCAGCTTCCCATACACCTTTCCCACCACGGGACAGCACAGGCTGCGGATTTATGGCATCCCTGCAGACCCTCAGGCACACTCCCAGCACTGCAGAGGCCAGGGTAAGAACACTTACTGACTCGCTGCCACTTGGAGACCCAGCTGTCTTCTGGGCTCATCATCGCGATGATCCTAGAGAGGGAAATTCAGAGTCAGCCCCAGCCTGCCTGAAGAGCGGGCACTGAGCAAGCCATAGCCCCGGGAGAGCAGTCTGAGGGGAAAGTCATCACCAGAGAGCTGGGATGTTTCTAACGCTAGGAAGGAGCTGACTAAGGAGGGGGTCACAACAATCTTTCAGTTCTGTCCTTGGCCAGCCAGTGAGAAGAGCTTTACACGCAGATGACCAGTACTGACTATGACCAGCCCAATCACTAGGGGCTGGAGTCTGCTGCAAAGGATCGTTTTACTAGAAATGAACGAGACTTGACCAAGCCCGTTCTCTATCGGGTTGTGCAGTCTGAAATACATGGAGACATTTCACAGACCTTCACCAATGGGACTAGGAGGCTGAGATAGTGCCTGCAAAGTCCTTAGTGCAGAGACTGACAGAGCAGACAAGGGCTACTTCTTATTCCAACAGTCCTCTTGCAGGTGCCTGCCTCCACATGCTGGCAGTGAGCAGAAAGGCGGCTGAAGGGCTAGGAAGGCATTATGCGAGCAGGCAAGCACTATGAGGAGTCACAGAGGTTATTTCTATTCTGTTCCTCACCCAGTAGTTCCCGTAGTCTGAATTGTCAGGTCTGTTCAGAAACTGACACATGCTGACTGTCTCCCCCAAGGCCATTTTGCTTCCCTGGCAACTATGCTAGAGTCTATGCTTTTGCTCAGGGTTTGAGAGGAACTGATCTCAGTTCCAGGAAGGGCAAGAAGGGTAAAGGCAGCTACATGGCTCTGCAGACGGACCCAGGACAGGCACGCACAAAGGCTTTCCTCCCACCATCAGTACTCTCTCTGCCCTCACAACCTACCCTTCCAGTCGACAATCTACTACCCAAATGACTGAACCTAAAGACAATGTCCACACTTCTCCAAACATACCTGGGTGTTCCTACCCTATGCCTCTGCTTCAGTCACACTCCTTTTATTTGAAATGTTCCTTCTACCTCATCTCAACTTCCTACAAAATCCTATAGTTCTAGTTAGGCTTGAGCAGCCAAGCCTGCAATCCCAGCTACTCTGGAGGCTGGGGTAGGAAGATTTCAAGTCCAAGGTCTGTTTGCCCAACTTAAAATGATGCTGTTTCAAAAATAAAAAGTCAAAAAGAGGGCTGCAGACATTCTCTCTCTCTGAGGTAGAACATTTGCTTGGCATTTGCAAAGGCCCTATGTTCAATCTTCAATAATATACATGAAATAATAAACAAAAATGAAAAAAAAATCTTATAGTTCTCTCAGATAAACAACTACCTCCCTCGACCTCTGACTAAAATAATGTAGCTCTCCTCTGGTTACCATTAGCCTCTGACTTGCTTATTCTCTAAAACTTAATATGCACTGGAATATACAACTCAACAATAACAAAACAAACCAGATTTAAAAAGTGGGAAAAACAGAATTGGGGATATACTTCAGTCTGCAGAGTGCTGACTTCACGTGTCCTAACCTGGCTTCCAGTGGGTGTGGTAGTGCGCACCTTTGATTCTAGCACCAGGAGGTAGAGGCAGGAGGATCAGGAAGCATCCTCTATTACATATCAAATTTGAAGTTAGTTTGGGCTGCCTGAGACCCTGTCTCAAAACAGGGTGGCAGGGGAGGGACTTTTTTATTTCTTTTTTTTTTTACTCGTTGTTTTCTCATTAAGAGTATCTTTTTAAAAATGATTTATTTATCTTTATTTTATGTGCATTGGTGTGAAGGTGTCAGATCCCCTGGAACTGGATTTTCAGACAGTTGAGAACTGCCATGTGGGTGCTGGGAATTGAACCCGGGTCCTCTGGAAGAGCAGTCAGTGCTCTTAACTACTGAGCCATTTCTCCAGCCTGACTTTTTTTATTTCTTTTCTTCTTTTTTTTTTTTGTTTTTGTTTTTGTTTTTTTTTAAAGCTCAGGGTGGTCTCAAACTCTTGATCCTCCAGCCTCTACTTCCCAAATGCTGGGACTACAGCTGTACACTATCATGGCCAAAAGATATGAACGGATTATAAAAAAAAATAAGACAGGTGACATTGGGCTTGGAATATAGCTCAGTGATAGAGCTTGCTTAGGGCATGTAAGATGTGGAGTTCAATCTCTAGCACTGAAGAAAAGAACTTTTAAAATTGGCTTTAGCAATAATAAAAGACTAATGCTATTAATTATTAGGGAAATGTAAATGAAACCCGCAAGATATTTAAATCCTATTATGGTGGCAATTACAGATATAACCCATAGTCATGAGGATGACTCTTAAACCCCAAAAATCAACAAACAAGAAAGCCAGGCAAGACATACACCTTTAATCCCAGCACTTGGGAGGCAGAGGCAGACGGATTTCTTTGAGTTTGAGGCTAGCCTGGTCTACAGAGCGAGTTCAAGGACAGTCAGGGAGAAAAAGAAACTGTATCAAAAATTAAAATAAAAACTAACAACCAACCAACCAAACAAACAAAAAAATAAAAGAACAAAACCCCAGAAAGTAACAGGCAGTGGTGAGGAGGAGAGAAATTGGAACCTTCAAGTTTTTGTTTTTTGGTTCCTCAAACAACTAAATAGTTGTTACATTATGATATAACAATTCTACTCATGATATAAAACCAAAAGCTCCAAAGCAGGGACTTAAGCAACCATGTGTAGATCATCTTCAGAGATGTTTTCTTCATAATGGCCAAAAGATAAGAAACCACAGCATCAACAGGTAACAACTTTTCAATCTGTATCATACACATACATGTAATAAAAACAGCCAACTTAAAGAAAAGAAAGAAACTTTTGGGAGACAGAGAGTAGCCCAGTGATTAGAAACACATACTGTTCATGAACAGGACCCATGTATAGTTCCCGGCACCCACACAGGGCAGCTCACAACTGCCTGGAACTCTAGCTCCAAGGATCTGAGGACTTTGGCCTTCTTGGGCACCTGCATTTATGTGCACACACCCACACACATACATGTAATTCAAAAAGAAAAATAAATCTTTAAAACATTTTTTAAAAAGGTTAAATTGGTAAGAACTCAAAGTGTGTCTCTTATATCTCATTGTGTAACTCAACACCTTTCAAAAGCAGCTAACACAGACCTTCACCTATAGATGGGAGCAACTCCTTTTAGACTTTGTAATTTCAGACAGGGTCTCATGATGCAATCAGGGGCTAGGACTTAAGGCAGCATCAACACACCCAGCTTCTTCCTGAAGCATCAATCTTGAACCGAAGGTTCAATCAGGAACCGAAGGTTCCAGATCGACTCTTTTTTGCCCAATCTTTTATTTCTCCCCTAAAAGAAATCAGGCCCACCTTCATAGAACTTTAACAAATACTAGGATTAAGCCCAGTTTAGATGTAAATCTTTAATTCGCCTGGGTTCCAGAAGAAATTTAGCAATGCTGATGCCCTGGGGAAGAAGACCAGGATTCACACTTCTCTCATTTCCCTTTGTCCCTGCTGGATCATGTCACCAAAATAAAATCCTCTTATAGGCCTCTTCAAGATGATCAAGTTTGGCCGGGCGGTGGTGGCGCATGCCTTTAATCCCAGCACTCGGGAGGCAGAGGCAGGTGGATCTCTGTGAGTTGGAGGCCAGCCTGGTCTACAAGAGCTAGTTCCAGGCCCCAAAGCCACAGAGAAACCGTCTCAAAAACCAAATAAACAAACAAAAAACCAAAAACAAAAAAAGATGATCAAGTTTGTTGAGTTTTATTATTATTTTTCCAGTTAACTTACTGGGGGAGTGCCCTCCCTCTCTCTCACAGATGCATGCATGCCAGGGTGCATGTGTTGAGGTCAGAAAACAATTCTAGGAACTCAGTTCTCTCCTGCCACCTTGTGGGATCCAGGATTGAAGTCAAGGTTACCAGGCCTCCCATCAGGCATCTTTACCTGCCGAGCCACTGAGCTGATTTTATTTGAGACAGGGTCTCACACAGTTCAGGCTGGCTTCAAACACGCATAGTTAAGGCATGCCCTGAACTCCTGATTCTCTGGCTTCTCCCCCTCAGAGGACAAGATTACAGGTGCAAGCCACGACTCTCACTAAGATAGTGTTTGAGGGCATAGTTTATTGCAGCCACCTTCTTTCCCTTCATTTTTAAAACGGATCTTCGTGCATCTGTTTTTGCAGAAGCATCAGGAATTAAACAGACATCTTTGTATATAGTAATCAAACTGTACTGCCGTATTATCCTTCCAACCCTTCAGCATTAAGGAGCCACCACCTCCTACATCCTGTGCCAGGTAGAGTTGTACAAGATAAACACAGTGTAACTATCACTGAGCTGACAAGAGTAGGGAAGCTTTGTTCAACAAATACAGGAAAAGGACACGTAATTTTGTTGTGTGTGTGGGGGGGGTGTCTTTTTCTTTTTTTTCGAGACAGGGTTTCTCTCTAATTTTAGAGCCTGTCCTGGAACTAGTTCTTGTAGACTAGGCCGGCCTTAAACTCACAGAGATCTGCCTGCCTCTGTCTCCTGAGTGCTGGGATTAAAGGCGTGAGCCACCACTGCCCAGCAAGGACACATGATTTTATATTTTCTCCTAGCCACTGTTTAAAACAGTAAAGACAAGATGAAACTAATTCCAATATTTAATCAAATAAATCCAAAACATTATTTCAACATTTAACTAATCTTAAAAATTAAGATAATTAGGCATTCTTTTTCTTCAAGCAGAATCTTTGCTCTCTGGTGTATCTCTGACACTTAAACACATTCTAATTTGAACGAACCACACCTCAAGTACTCAGAAGCTACTGGTCCAGATGTACAGAATTAGTGGGTCTCAAAAGAACTGTTGCGACCAACTAGTCTTATGACCTCAACGATCTGCCCCATATTTACTTCTTGGGCCATAAGTCAACAGGGTGCAGGTGTGAACAAGGGACCGCGGCGGGGCTTACCCATCGAATGAGGAGCTGGTGCAGTCATACACCATCTCTCTGTTGCCCTTCATTTGCAGGTACGCTTCACAATTGTCACAGCCGTCATATTCAAACTGGTCTATGGTCTGGACGGGAAAAAAACAGACAGGATAAACATGAACAAGGTCTTTTGTTTGTTTAGTTTTTCGAGATTGGCTTTCTCTGTAGCTTTGGAGCCTGTCCTGAACTAGCTCTTGTAGACCAGGCTGGCTTCTAACTCAGAGATCCACCTGCCTCTGCCTCCCTAGTGCTGGGATTAAAGGCGTGCGCCACCACCGCCCGGCACAAGGTCTTAATAGACAACCTCTTGGTTCTACGTAGTCCAACACCTAAATTCCACCCTCACACGCTTTTCTTCTCTCATCACTCCTAATTCAGCTTGTACACTTATTCTAGTCTCCTTGGGGTCAGGTACCCCCTCCAACTCTCTCAGCTGCTTGGGCTCCTGGTCGTTCCAGTTCAACACAGTAGTCCACCGAACCGCCGGCTGGGGAGCCAAGAGTATGCTGAAAGGCAGGTACGATCACCCGTGCCCTCAGCAGGCACGAACGCCCTGCTCACGTTTCTCCGACGTAAACAACGGCTCTCTTAGGCTTCCCATTCCCCTGGTGATCTCCCGGGCTCTCAGACCTTTTCCTTTTCTGTCTGTGGCGCCATTTCACCCTCTTTCTTCCCTTCTGCCTCCCCAGTCGTCCCTAAAACCAGGTCCCCGACCGACACCTTGACTAAGGAGCACAGCAAACAAGCCCGCAGATGCCGCAGGTCCTTCGGCACCGTCTCCAGGGCCATCCTCACCGATGCGACAGCACAGCCGCAGGAAGTAAACAGACCACTACCCAGAATGCCTGCCACTTCCTCTATGTAACTTCCTCTTCCGGTGCAGATGGCCGCGGCCCCGCCCCTCCCCCCCTCAGAGGAGATGGTTTCTCCCGTAGGGGCCGTGGGCGGGGCCGCCGGCCGCCACCTGGGCCGCGCGCGCCCGTCACCTGGACTCGCGTGAGCGAGCGGAAGATGGTGCGCTGGGGGGGGGGGAGC